TAGGTTTACTCTCGATTAGTTCTTGAAACTTTTCGAGATCTTTAGACTCCCACTGACCTCTTGACATATTAGATTCTCTTATCAAAACAAATATTCAAGAGTTAGTGTGTGTCTATATCAAAACAAAACCTACACACAATTTGGTATTAGTTGGCCTTTGTCTTATTCAAGACATCACAACTTACCAAAATGTGCAAGTGTAAGAACATTCCTATTTAAGATTATGTCACTCAAGTCACAATCTTGGAGTATAACTCTAAGACTTGATTTTGGAACGAAGTATGACTCATCCTTTTGATTTAACCATTTCAACAATTTCCAATTCCTCTTCTTAGTCATACTAGTGCACTAAGATGTCCTTAGACGATTAATTGTGATGTGGTTTTACAATCAACAAGATGATCATAAAATACGATACAAAAGTACTCTCCCTTTTTCTTAGATTGGAGAAACTTTCTGTCTTTTTGCCTAATTGATTCTTCTTATTCGTTCTGCCATACATTGAAATTTTTTTAATGATTCAGAATCACACTTAATCTTGTAAGCATAACAACATTTACTAGAATTTTAGTAAATGATGACGAATAATCTTATTGTTCTTTGTGGTGGACTTAACTAGTGCACAACATTGTTTACCAGTTCTCCTAGTCCTTCACTTAACTCTTTGTCAAGGAATTAGTCTTAATTTCCAAATATGAAGGTTCTCATTCATCATACAATACAAGTTGTATGATTCGAGTTTCTGTCAAATTGAAACTTGGTCGACAATAATCTTTCCTTATTTGGTAAATTCTTGACATTACCACAAATAACATAACTAAGAATCACATCCATTTCATCATTGCTGAAACTAGAAATACACTAACGTAAATTTTTCATACATGCCATTGCAAGGAAATATATAAATAAGACAAAAAATAAAATTTATTTTATTTATAAAAGGTGCGGAAAAACTTGTCCTTACAATGCAATTTAAATGAAAACTACGCTATTACATGTTCCTAGCAATCTATCATAACTCTAAAAGTAGCAGCTCCAAAATTCCGATCATCGAATCATGCGATCGAAATCCATTTCTTCGTGATCAGACTCAGCTCACTTCTTTAAGCTTCCTCTCTTTTCTTCGATCCTACAAAACATCAAATGTAATCTTATCACATCATGGTAGGACAGGGCAGCTTCGTCTCCAATGCCCCTTTTCTTGGCAATAAAAGCAAATTGACTCCTTTGGAACAGCACATGGAACTACCTCAGACTTTGTCTTTCTCTTATGGTCAATCTTTTCGACCATGACATGTCTTTCGTTTCCATTGCCTATGTCCATGGAGGTTTGGAAGGCAGATCTACCAATCATCTTTGCTTCTCCAGTGCGCCAAATCATTGTTGATTCAGCAGCAACAAGCAAATAGGTGAGATCGATAAGGGTTTCGTCGTGGTCTATCATATAGTACTCTCTTACGAACTCAATATATGAGTCGGGAAGCGATTGAAGAACCCAGTCAATGGCCAGTTTCTCACAGACAACGACTCCCAACATTCTTAACCTGTCAACGTGCAACTTCATCTCTAAGACGTGTGCACGCACTGACTTTCCTTCTTCGTGTTTTCTTGCCAAAAGGGCTTGAGTGAGCTTGAACTTTTCAAGCCTTTGTACTTGTGGGTCAGGGAGAATAATAGGAGGAGGTGGAGGAAGTGAAGCATGATCTCTTGTTCCTCGATCGAATCGTGGAATATCATCTTCATGTGGAAAGCTTGTTCCAAGGGATTTGGGAAGACCATAGTTGCCATACTTTGACATCTACAAAACGGGAGAAAATTCAAGTTATTTGATTGATTGACATCTACAAAACGGGAAGACCATAGTTGCCATACTAGCCCGAATCTGCGGGCGTTACAATTATCTCCCCCTTAGGATGATTACGTCCCGAAATCATCAACTAAACACGGTTGTATAATGACTCCATACGTTATCTCTTCATCCTAGGTAATAATCATAACTTCTATGTTCCTTTGAATGAGTATTTAACTCTTGGACTTCTTGACCGCAGGCGGTGCTTGATTTTGCACCCGCACTCTGTCTCACATTAAGCTTTCAATCATGACCTTCCTGTCACAATCTCAGCCCTTATTGGAGACTTCTTATTCTTCTTAACAACTTAAGATAAGTTTCTTCCTTCGATTATCATAATAGACCGATGGGTCACGTTCTAATGACATCTCATCGTATGATGCAACGCTTAGAGTCTGGTCTTTTAGAGTCAAATTCCAGAAAGAAATATACCTTCCTTCATGTCCTAATGTGATATAATCACCTTTTAGTATGTAGCACTTCTAGGTACAAGTTTCTTACTTTAACAGCGATCGCGATACTTCTACTGATCACTTCGATTATCTTTTATTCCAATCTTCTGGCTTAAATCAAATGCTACATCGATCTTGGTTCTCTGAACCTCGTAACATAATCATCTTAGTCGGACTCTATTTGATATGACTACTAGTGTCGAGATAACAATCATCTTCTTAATCATTACCGAAACAATGGTAACGACATACTTGAATAAAACGAAATCAATCACTAGCTTCTTGGTAACCTTGTGACTTTCCCTGATCCAAGTGTGATTCTTGTGCTTCCGGTAGTATAGACCTCTACTAACATTTTTTCCTTAATACTTCCATTTAAGTTATATACAGATAAAAACATATTTGAAGAAAAAAAACATTTTTTTCCTTATATTTCCATTTAGATTATATGCATATAAAACATTTTTCAAGAATTTTATGTGTACGATGTACATAATTTTTTATTAATTTACATAAAATAATACCTCATAAAAAATTATTGCAAAAAGTTAAAAGAAAATAAAAAAAAAAAGTATATTAGAAAAAAAGACAAAAATAATTTAAAAAGTAAAAAAGTTAGAAAAATATCAAATTTTGAAACTATAACTATTTAGTAAATATTTTCAAAACTAAATAGTAAATATTTTTCTAAAAAACACCATTGTTCAAAAAGTAAGAAAAAACAAATAAATCCGCTAATCTAAAAATAAAACGGGAACCATTTCGGGTCAACTGGTACACGGACTTCACCCGAGCTATTCGACCCATATCGGTTAGATGAACTCATTTGATAACTCAATGCAACTTCAATCCCATAACAGAGGTCGCCCAAAGTTCTGTAGTTGGTGATTCATAGTTTTCTAAGTAACTTTGGCTTCGCATTTTCTCACCTACAAGTAACTTGAATCTTATTATCCTTTTATTTCGCTTTGATTCTATGATATCTATATACGTATAAGCATGATCGAGAGTTAAATTAGGGTTTTGGTGGTTTCATTTCCTGAATAAATAACAGAGTATTTCAGGGAATTAGGACTTATGGTTTTCCATAACAATGATTTATTCTAGGGTTTGATTCCATGGTGGTGGTATACTGGTATAGATTATAGAACAACCTCTTCTACGATATATCTTTTATTGTTTGCCTCTTGAATTCTTCATAATCAGCCAATCTAGATTCTTATGTGGGATTCTGCAGTTACTCCAAATTCTGGATTAATTCGAATGATTGATGATTTGATTCCCTCTTTGAGAAATGGCTACCAGAAATCTTAGGTCATAAGTTGAATTATCAATTATCCCCACCTAAACTTTGTATACCTCCTAATTTGGTTCCTGATACAGAATTTTATACACTATGGATTCGTAACATAGAATCAATATTGATGACATGATCAAGATTATGCATTTGTTTATGATTTCTGATACCTAACTGTATATAACAAATTTCCTTTTGCTGATTTACAGATACTTTTAAATTAAACTGCATTTAATGATCTTGATGTCAAGAACACGCAACATAATAGTTGCAACAGGCTTGGTAGCTTTTGCAAGTGCAGGTTTAGCTTTTCCCTTTTACATGGCGTAAGTACATTGCTTTTTGGTTCATTTATTCTTTAATTATTAGTCTTTTTTGAAACATTAAACATTAAAATGTATGTTAAAATACAAGACTAGATCATCATCAAATGCCCCTCTTATTGATTCATCAAAACCATTGTCACCTCAGCAACTTTTAGAGGACCTTATATCAATACCGGATCACGTGATGTTGGACCTGATTATCAGACTTATTCCAAGAAATAATCATTTTTAGCTACTTTATTTTTATTTTTATCATGTATTGTAGTAACTGAAGTATTTAGAAAACAATGTACTTTGTTAAAATGCTTATATTAATCCGTTTGGTTTCTATTATTGTTATTCTTGTTATTTCCGGCCACCATAGTGTGAATGAATATCACATGTATGAGTGACAAATGGTGTACCAAATTTAAGTTAATGTGTTAATATACTTGTTATGAGAATAATTATAGATAAATATTTACTTTTTTTTTTGTTGATTTGTATATTGTTAGATTTGGTTTTGTTTTCCTTGGATCCACAAATTGAAATGTTCAGATCTATCAAGTATAAGACCATCCGGTATGGGCAACGTCATACGGCGTTATGCGGATTTGGCAGCTCCCATAACGGCGTCATAACACTGGAACACTGCCCCCCTCTCATGTTATTTGATGTTATGTTAAGAAATGTTAGCATGTCCATGGAAAGTAACGTGAGAATCAACCAATCAAAAGTCATTATCTCACACTCTCTCTCTCTAACTCTCTTTGTATCTCTTAACATTTGCACACCATTTTCTACATAAATCAAATGATATTAAAAATGACATGGCATATGAGTTGGCAAATTTTAAGTATGATAACATGTCTTAACATGTTGCCCACACCCACCAGCCTAATAGGTATTTGGATTAAAATTTAAAAGCATACCAAAATGATGGTGCAGAAATAATAGCATGTCGTTCAAAAAGAAAGCTTACCAAGATTTTTTTTTTTTTAAATCGAAATACGACTCATTATCCTAAACGTGTAGTTTAACGGTTTTTGGAGGGGAAAAAAACTTATGGGATCCTTGATACATCGGTGTTGGTTGAAATTTTTGCTTTGTTGTTCAATTTGTCTCTTTGCCATGATCGACATTTCAAACTTACACGTAAAGTCTTCCTTTTTTAACCTACAAAACACACTCTGCACCACTAGAATCAAGAAACCACAAGTATTTTCTTCAAAATCGATAAAAATGGCTTCTTTACTATTCCCAACGCCACCAACAACCACCACCAACACTCGCTTACTTCCTTCACTTCCTCTTCGCCACACAAAACCCATAATTCTCCGTTCCCACTCATCATCACCACCCTCATCTCGCCGGAAAAATCTCCTCCCTCCACTCCGAGTAGCTGCCCCACCTTCCCCCTCCACCACCGACACTTCCATTGATCCAGAATTCGAAGAATCCGAAACCAGTTTTTCGTCGAAATTCTCATGGAGAGATCACTGGTACCCTATATCCCTAATCGAAGACCTCGATCCAAACCTCGCAACCCCTTTCACTCTCCTCAATCGTGACCTCGTTATCTGGTTCGACAAAACTAACAACCAATGGGTTGCTTTTGACGACAAATGCCCTCATCGCCTTGCTCCTTTATCGGTATGTTAACCCTCCAATTTTACCCTTTTCATCTAGGGTTTTATCGATCTTACAAAATTCGATTCTTTCAGGAAGGAAGGATTGATGAAAACGGACACCTACAGTGTTCTTACCATGGATGGTCCTTCGATGGATCCGGATCCTGTTCTCGGATCCCTCAGGCATCATCAGAAGGACCCGAAGCTCGAGCTGTTCAATCACCAAGAGCATGTGCTACCAGGTTTCCAACAATGGTGTCTCAAGGTTTGCTCTTTGTATGGCCTGATGAAAATGGTTTAGAACGAGCCCGTGCCACTCAGCCTCCTATGTAATCCCCAAATTCTTTTCACTATTATAATATTCATCATCTATATTTAATTGATCAATCATTATCCCCAATTTTTAATGTCGATTAGGTTGCCTGATGACTTTGAAAACCCTGAATTTTCAACAGTCACAATTCAACGTGATCTGTTCTATGGATACGATACTCTCATGGAGAATGTTTCTGATCCCTCACACATTGATTTTGCTCATCATAAGGTGATAACACAGTCCCCCTGCCTGCCCGCTGCCCGGATTCTTCATATCTGCTGCCCGAATTCTTAATTTCTTGAATGATTCTACAGGTTACAGGGAGGAGGGATAGAGCTAAACCACTACCATTTAAAATGGATTCCACTGGTCATTGGGGGTTTTCTGGTGAAAACGAAGGGAACCCAAAAATCAGTGCTAAGTTTATCGCGCCTTGCTATTATATAAACAAGTAAGTTAAGTTTACACAACTAAAGGGTAATATAGGTATTTCACAACTAGAAAGAGATTAATTAATTAAACAAATTTGTTATTGTTTTCAGGATAGAGATTGACACAAAACTCCCTATTGTGGGTGATCAAAAGTGGGTAATTTGGATTTGTTCCTTCAATGTCCCAATGGCACCTGGAAAGACTCGTTCCATTGTTTGCAGTGCTAGAAATTTCTTTCAGTTTACAATGCCCGGGCCCGCATGGTGGCAGGTAAAGTGTGTGAATTAGACTAAATGACTATTTTACCCCTTTGTATAATAAAATGGTGAAAATTGTAGGTTGTTCCAAGGTGGCATGAACATTGGACATCAAACAAAGTATACGATGGTGATATGATTGTTCTTCGAGGTCAAGAAAAAGTCTTTTTATCACAATCAATGGAAGATGTCAACAAAAACTACACAAAACTCACATTTACCCCAACACAAGCTGATCGATTTGTATTAGCATTCAGAAACTGGCTTAGAAGACATGGAAAAAGTCAACCCGAATGGTTTGGTCAACCCAACATCCAATCACTACCCTCCACATACCTATCCAAACGCCAGGTATGCTTTTCATATTTCTTGAATCTTTTTGTATGTGTTTGTGATCTTTTTGTTGTTTATTGCAGATGTTGGATAGATTTGAGCAACATACATTGAAATGTTCTTCGTGTAAGAAAGCTCATGAAAGATTTGAGACATTGAAGAAGGTTTTAGTGGGAGGATGTGTTGTACTTTGTGCTGCTGCTGCTGTACCTTCGGAGATACAAATGCGTGTTGTTTTTGCGGGATTTGCGGTTTTGAGTGCTGTTTTGGCTTATTATTGTCATGAACTACAGAAGAATTTTGTTTTTGTGGATTATGTGCATGCTGATATTGATTAAACTTGGTATAATGTGGATTTTTTGTATTGTTAGTGAACTATATTGATGTGTTTAATACTTTGTTTATAGAAATTAGATGGTGGTGTTATACTTTAGGATCAGAAACATGTATAGTTTTAAAGATTTTATGAACCAAGATTTGTATGCATATAAAATGATGGATGTGTGTTCATTACCTACGTTTATACCATAACTTTGTTCTTATGGCCAAAAATCACTGAATCTACAATGTTACAAACGTGTACAACGAAATATTAAAGTAACTCGCACAATGAAATACATGATTATTTTTAATGTCAAAACCACAATCTCCTTTGGAATGTTGGGTTCAGTTTTGCTCATCATAAGGTGCTATTCTATAATGTTTGAGCATTCACATCACATAAATAAGAACATGTACAATTTTAAGTTTTTTGGAATGAAATGTTGCGGATCTAGTCGGTGAAAATGATAAAAATACTTGTGTCTCATCTGGGTTCAAATATCTAACATCAATGTATCACCAAGTTCAATTCATTTATAACAACATAATTCATCGAGAAAGATGAAATTTTCACAATAAGCAAAGCCCTAACACTGAACATCGATACAAACCCTAAATCCCCAAATCTAAGAACTGGTAAATTTGGTTACAGCCTTGGTCCCCTCTGAAACAGCATGCTTTGCTAACTCTCCGGGAAGAACCAATCTCACCGCCGTCTGGATTTCCCTGGAGGTAATCGTCGGCTTCTTGTTGTACCTCGCAAGTTTCGAAGATTCCTGAGCAAGCTTCTCGAAGATGTCGTTGATGAACGAGTTCATGATCCCCATGGCCTTGCTTGAGATACCGATGTCAGGATGAACCTGCTTAAGCACCTTGAAGATGTAGATCTTGTATGTCTCCACACTCTTCTTGTTTCTCTTCTTCTTCTTGTCAATGGCACCGGCGCCGGCTTCCTTGGGGAGCTTCTTCCCTGCCTTTGGCTTCTTCTCAGCAGGCGCTTTCTCAGCTGGTTTCTTCTCCTCCGCTGGCTTCTTCTCAGCGGGCTTCTTCTCTGCCTTTGGCGCCATTGTAGGGACTTTGGTTTGTAAAGAAAGAGTGATGTTCTAAAAAGAGAGAGATGCTTGTTGTTCGTTGTGGTGATGAATGGAGGGAGAGTAGTGTTTATATACGGAATGTGAGGCGTGATCTGATTGGATAATTTATGTTGTCGTGGATCGTGGGTTATGGCCGTTGATTTCTTTTGAGTAGTTTCAGCGGACAGGATTTAGTTTTCTAAAAGTGAGGTTGATGCTGGTTTTGACGCGGATCGACGTACTGGCCGTTGATGAATTTAAGGAAGAGTAAATTACAATTTAGGTCCATGTGTTTTACATTATTTACAGTTTGAGCCAAATATTTAAAAAACTATGCGCCTCATTTCTATGGTTTGAAAAAAAAAAAAAAAAAAATGCATGTATTGTCTCTTGGACTAACATGGTGAATTCTCATTCGTTTAATGCTTATAAAATAACTATTTTATTCTTTTTTTCCTTGTTATTTTGATATTGTTCATAACTTTAGGGACTACTTCTATAAAAATTTCAGACTCATCAAGACTATTCTCTCTTTTGCAATTTATCTCTCCCTTCCTTGTGTTAAGTGACCATAGTTTAGACATATGCTCGAGTTAAATTATAAATTAAAGTTAGTGGGATTGAAGTTGCCAATTTTGGGAAATTTACTTTGGCCTTACTTCGACTTATGTTGGGAACCAAAAAAAATCATAAATTAGTTAGCCAGTGTTAATTTGGTAAGATCGATAAAGTTGTGCGATCATTTATGATGGGTTTGAGCCAAAATAACATCTTATGTGATCATGCAAACCCTAATGCTTATATCTAGGTTTCTCTATCGTACATTCAATTCATCCAATACTTTCTAACCCTATATCTAGTGTATATAATCGAAATTAGCATAACAAAACAGATATAGATGTTTACCTTGTTGTTGATTGAAGATCTTAAAGCCTTTAGAATTTTAGCACCTCGAGTGTTGTGCCTCCAATGAATCACAAACACCAATAGCAATTTGTTAGGTGCATTTCATGTACCCATTTTGTAGCTTTATTTCATAAAAGTACATTGCATTTAGGTTTAAACTCATGCATTTTGCATATTTTCGGAATTTTTCATGATGCAATTCCATTCACACACTTTTGTAATATTTCAGGGACTTTTGGAGGTTGGATCTTGCTTTAGGAGGTTAAAAAGAGTTGAGGGTAAAATTTCAGGGCTATTGGAGCATCGAGGAGGAAGTTATGAAGAAAATGAAGATTTTGGTTTTACAGGAGTTTACACGGCCGTGTAAATGGAAGCCTATAATTTACACGGGTCGTGTAAACGCATATACAGGAGCATTCAACTTTTCTTGTTTACACGGTCGTGTAAATTGCACCCTTTAATTTACACGGGCCGTGTAAACGTCTCGACAGTTTTTAAAGTAGTTTTACTCTCATATAATTGAGACAATCGGTTTTTTTGGAAGGGGGTCGACTTTTGGGCATAGAGAAGGCGATTTTCAGAGCTTTTGGAAGTAGATTAACACTTGGGAACATTTGATTTCATTTTGTAAGAACTTTAATTTCATTTTCTAGATTTGTGATCTTGTTCTAGTCATGAGTGGCTAGAACCCTAGATTCTCCAACTTTATGTCTTGACTTCTAGTTGTGATTTCAATCATATGACTTGATGTTTTCTTTCAATTTTCTATCTAGTGAATTTAATTTTGTTTCAATCGAATGTTTGATTCTAATTGTGATTCTTATCGGCCATTTGAATTAGGATTAGATCATTCAAGTTATCTAATTGCAAAATCCGTAATTGTTTTGTAAATTGGACTAGGTAACAAGCACTAAACTGATTTCTAATGAATGAATTTAGTGTAAATCTTATTCACAGATTCTTATGCTCCCGAGCTTATGAGGAGTATGGAGTGTTGTTGGGAACATTCACATAAAGTTTAATGCAATCTTTCAACCTAATTCTAAGAGTTTGTTTAGATTAGATTGGTAAGGTTAGGATTAATCAAAGAGCTTGTTTTGGTTAATTATTGTGGTGAATGGGAAGTGTTAGAGCTTGTTAACACTTTCAAGTACCAACTTAGATAGAATTAAACAATATCTTGTCATCCATGGAATCACATTGCTAATTTGTCTTGCATAGAGTTGGAGTACTTACAAATCTTGAACTTATTTCATTTAATCAATCATTTACTTATTGCTTTATTCTATACTTTAAATCATTGCTTATAAATTCCCCCCATTATGTGACCATTTTTGTACCTTACACAAAAAGGTATAAACACTTGTCCCGTGTCTCTGTGGATCGACCCTACTTACCTTGTACTACGTTTTTAGTGCACAGTAGTAGTGTTTAAGGAGTCATTTGTACCCTTTATTTGTTGGGTTTGACACACCTAACAAATTGGCGCCGTTGCCGGGGACACGGTGTTAGTAATTGTTTATGCCAAGCATTTTGTGAGCAGGTGCTTTAAAAAAAAAAGAAAAAAAAGTCAGGTAGAAGATAAGTTTTCAATTGAAGGAAGTGGCGAGAAGGTTAATGTGTTGTAAAGGCCCACCTACTTAGAACAAAGCACATTCAGGGGCCAAGTCGAGCCAACGACTTAAAACAAGGGCAGCTAACCGGGAGGCAACCCAGAGTTTTTTTTTCTTTCTTTTAAAACTTTTTAGTCTTTGGTAAATTTCAATTTTTTTTAATGTCGCAAATGGTTTTAAACTTATTTTTTATGCCTAGAAAATGAATCTCCGGCTCCAAAAATACTTCACGGATAGCTTGGGGAGGATGAAGAGGAGGTTCACACCACAATTGTGAGGCACCAAGAAAGATTTGGTAAATTCTTTCCATATCTTTAATCGTTCATATTTTACTTAAAATTCAATTGGTGTGCATTTGTGAATGTTTTAGACCCATTCCCAAATCAGCTACCATCCTCCACCATCCGACTCTTAATAGGCCGACTATGTCTCTCTCTAAGCATCGAGGACGATGCTATATTTTAAGCTTGGGGAGGGGCATCCATCCATGCATAAATTCCGTTGCATGTAGGTTGCATTAATTTTGTACATATTGCATTAATTTTTATTTTCTTATTCATTTTTCTGCATAGAAAATTTTTCAAAAACCAAAAAGATTTTCTTTCTATTCTAATTTTTTTTATTTTTTTTTGCATCCAAATTTTTGCATTGCATTCTTTGAAAAAAAAAACAATTGATCCAATCCCAAGCAACCGAATCTTTTCGAAACAGTTGAGCTGGTAAATGAGTCATGTGCCTTGAGATTAGACTTGCTCTTTTTATTGAAAATCTAAAAGCAAGTTAATCGCACACAAACACACCTCCCGAAGCTACTTGTGCAAAACAGGAAGTGAGAAGATTGTCAACATTTGAGCATAACAGCAGGTATGAGTCGATTCTTTGGGACATATGACTGGTCTTATGAGTAGTAAGTGCTCAATTGAACTTAAAATGCCAAATTCAAAAGTTCATAAAAAGAATACAAAATCTCAACGTTCCGAGCCTTCCAGCGCTCTAAAAAGTCATTTCTACTCATTCCCTTTTATATACCGTGCTTGGGGACATAGCTTCCAACTATACCTACGGGTCTTTGCATGTTGACCTTTAGTCCCCCGAAAAATGTCTAGAAGTCCCTCACGGTAATAGACCGTGAGATGTCCCACAATAGAAAAGTCAAGGACGAAAATATAAAGAAATAGACCAAGCAAATAAATTAATAAGAGTGTTATATGTTATCTTATTTATATAAAAATAATAATAATAATAATAATAATAATAAATTAAAAAATATATATATTATTAAGTTAATCTGTGACCTTTGGGATTCGAACAAGTAAACTCTGAGGGGTGTTTTACATCTAATCGCCTAAAGCTAAATTGTTTGGGACTGATTGAGTTGAAAATTCGCTACACGGGTTCCATAGAAAGTCATGAACTTAATAACCAAATAAAGCTAATTTGTGGTCTTTGAGGTTCGGGCAAGTAAACCCGATGGATCCTTTTAAATCTAGCACACTAAGGTCATTTGATCTGGATGTGTTGGTTGGAAGCCCGTTACACGGATTTCAAAGAAAGCCATGAGCTTTATTTGTAAAAAAAATGTAAT